TTGTCAGTGGCATGCCTACTCACCAACAACCTACCCCATTTACTAAAATAACAAATTCAGTTGGTCAGATAAAAATTAAAGAGAAGCAGAAAATTTGGGAAAATGTGTAACTTATAACATACCAAAATCCGAACCATTTTATAACTTTTTCCTTGTTGGCCATATTGCTGACAAGGATGTATATAATCATGCAATAATTTTAACCTACAGGACAGAGGACTGATTGGGCAAAAACTCAATCCAGTCCCCTACCCAAAATTATAAATTGGTTAAACAGAGAATTTACAAAAATGATTATACAAAACAAACACTATTTTACAACCTCCCTCTTAACATCAGAGCTCCAAAGGCAATTTCAATGGCCACCAACCCTGCTCTGAATTGCGACCTCCTGTGCTTGAGCAAGTTGCAGATTCTTTTAATATTAATCAGCAGAGTTACGACTTGGTCACAGTTCCATCCTTGCCCTAGAGATAGGATCGTTGCAGGCAACTTTTCACCCAACATGGCAGCAGCCATCTCTGGTCTGGATGCTGTGAGGGAAGAGTATATAGTGAAAGCGTCATTGACAATTGATGCAGTCTCGGTAAACTCCAGGGCCATGCCCCCACCCCCTGGAATTCTGTTGCATCATTGTATACATCGGAGGGAGCAGGTCAGATTAGCCTTATGTACACGAGGAACGAGTGAATGACTGTAAAGTGTTCAAAGTAGCACGTGTGCTTAACACCTGCCAATTTCCGATAATCAAACATCACATACTCGATATCTTCTTGTGATTATATATTTATAATGATATTATTAATGGTCACGAAAAACAAAATATTATCAATGAAAATCTTGTAATTACCCAGCAAGATCTGCTCCGCGTTTTGATTTCCAATTAAAATATTTATTATAACCAATAAAGACAACAAATATATATATCAATACAAATAAAAAATAGTACCTCTGGTTAGTTATTAACACGCCTTCTTTAGAAGATTCGCATTTTGTCACCCGGACTCTGTCAAAAAATAAATTGTTTTTCCAAGAAAGAAAAAAATCAATTCGCGTCTGTCCTACCAAAAAAAAAACCAATAGGATAAATAATCAATGTACGCGTCGATCAAATCACAAACTTCTTTTTTTAAAAATTCAAAATGTCGAAATCTAATACAAAAAAAAGAAACAGAAATCAAGACTGGGAAGAAGTAGCTCGGTAAGTGTTTTTAAGGATGGCGGTGGTGGTTATCGCCCGCCACCTGTCGTCGTCACTCTAGTTATTAACAAAGAATGGTGGTGGTTTATGAAAATTTAACATATATGTAAACTTACATCCATTTTTAATTTCTTAATATAGAGATGAAGCTGTAGTAGATGAAGAAGAGAAAGAAAATTTGGTTAAGTTGTTTTTCCTTTTATTTTAATTTAATTAGATTAAATAGCGAATAAAGTATATTGAATTTTCTCCTACATTGTGGAATCATTTCTTTCTTTTGTACATCAGGATCCCTCATTATTTAATTTCGATAAATTAAAGCGTCAATTGAAGTCTGTTCCATTGAACGAGGTATGCGGTAAACCATATTTTTGATTATTTGCTTAGTAATATACAATAAAACGTAGATACAACATACTTTTTTGTAAATTATCTATAGTGGATAGTTGGTGTCATTAACGTGACAAGCAAATTCAGGAAATTTCAGTCACAGTTAATCACGGAAATAACAACCAAAGGAGAAAAATGACTTGGAATGATACACACGAAGTTTTGTAAGTGTTCTAGTTGAATTGTATACCAGTATTACTCATTTTTTTATTTACTTAGGGCGCTCACCTCAATTATTGTATTGACATGGCCTTGTCCGTACAATATGTTTACCTCTTCAGAATGGAAGCAGATAATTGACACAAATCCATATAAAATGAAAGAATCGATATTGGCACCGATTTCAACATCGTTATACTACACTTGTAGTCAAATTGCAATTGGATTAGATTATACTCTCGAATCAAATGGTGATAGTGAGTTTGACAAAAAGGCTTATAGAATATTTAACATATTGTAAGTGACTTGATCAAGAATCTTTTTTATATTACATGAATGATTAAAAAAAAACTGAAAACAAAATTCATTGGAAAAAGACTAAATTTGAATTATTTTACACCCATTAGAAAGGATGAGCTTCCATTGGTACCAAAGCCAAAAATGACGGAAGGTGAACATTGTTGTTTTTACCTTCATCCACTATTAAAACCTTTTTTCTGTCGCAGCTTCAAAAACTATGAAGTAAGATTAAACAAATCTGTTGATAACTCTCTCAAGAGACCAGATTTTAGTTGCAGAATTGACAATATCACCATATTAAACTCTGAAATAAAACCAAGTGGCTATACTCCATTCCAGAAAAACAAAGACTTTGTTAAAATTAATACACGAGCAAAACATTCGATCAACCAATTATTAAGCAAGAAAGGTGGACCAAACTATACAATGTTCCTTTCAAACATGGGTATATGTCTGTCATAAAGCTAGTAGCGAAACTGTGCAAAAGTTGAAGCTAGTTTTGACTTTCGCCTCCTCTTCAAAATAGTTTTGCTTCTAGCTTTAGTTGGTTGTGATTTTTTGCTTTTTATTTTTGCAGTATTTTTTTGATTTTTACAAAATCCATTTGATAATCTAGGTGACAAAATTGATTCATTCTTTATGACTCTTAATCACGATGGAATCTATCAAGCGTGGCCATGGCTAAATACTAAATTAGTCATGGACAGATCTTCTTTTCCATTAATGGTATTATGCATGCATCATTTCTCAAAATTAGAGGTATACATTTTTTATCTTTTCTTTTGACTTTTATAATGAAGCCTTGCTTATTATTCAATCACAATTATATTTACAGGAAGAAATACAAATAATAGCAAACGATTATGAAAGCAGGCCCATTTATTTCACGCCTACTGCACTAAATAAATATATCAGGGAGGAACCAACTCTACCTCAATTGGACAATTTATTAAAAAATATTTATTTATATTAATTAATGTTTACGGGTATAATCTCGCGAAATAATCTGAAAAAAAAAAAAGAAAAATCAAATATTTCTTTAAGTCTTGCTATAATAAAATCAATCAAATCAATTAAATTTTAAAAATAAAAATAAAAAATCAACATGTAATGTTAAAAAATATTAATAATAAAATTTCCTAATTTGCAATTATAATTCATAATCATCAGCCATTATAGGCAGTTATAACATATTAATATAAGTGAATTTCGGGGACAGGCCATTATACACTATAAGAAATTTAATTAAGACCGTTATAGAGTAGGGTTTTTATATAGTAAAAAACCAGGATCCAATTTCCAGTTCGTTATTATTATAGAATGTAGGCCGTTATAGAAAAGGCCGTTATAAAGGGAGTGTACTATATATATAATATATAAATAGCTGAGCAATTTACATACACTTTATATCGTAGTATGATTCTGAAGAGCATGTAGTAGAATCATATATAGTAGTAATAATAGTGATAATAAACTAATTAAATAAATAAATTAATTTTGAAATGTTTATTGTGATTTTTCAATTGGAAATATAAGAGAAAAAAAATCCAATATTTAAATTATGGTTCATGTTCAAAAATTTAAGGCTACATCTACATAATTATCAATTTGCTCTACTAAAGCTTCAACTTCTTGTTGAATAGATTTGGTTTGAGCCAATGGCAAGTGTGATGAAACTACCTGCCTATTGAACAAGAATGATTCACTGGAAATATCTGATACTTCCTTACTAAATGCTGCCCATAAAGTTGTATCAATTCCTTGATCAATAGATTTTAATTGATTTTTAAAATTGTTGTAAAAGTTTTCCATTGATGTGCTGACACCGGGAGTATCAACCCGTCCTAGATACATCACCAAAAATTTTATTCCTGTGGTAGATTCTGGATATTGTTTTGGCCAATAATCTGTTAGCTCTACTCGTTGTCTAAAGAAAAAATTTATTATTATTGAAATGATGAATTGTTAAAGTGTAATAGATGTGGTAGATTGCAAACTAAGTTAGATTATGATATTGTTACTGGTAAGAATGTTTGCTACTGTATTAGAAACAATGAAGATTTAGAAGAGAAGGAACTTCCTCTCT